ACCGGTTCTGGCCCGCCCTCTGCTACCTGCTCGCCCATCTCTACAGACTCTTCTCTTCTCCTCTCTATTGAAATCCCATGTAGCTCACTCTTCTTTCCCCTTATTCTTATATAGCTGAGTGTTTTCGACTGGTGGCTCAGTCTGCAGCCACCTGTTCACACTGGTTCCTCGCGCGTGGATTTTTCTATCCTGAAGATGGAGGCGACACGTCCCTCCGAAACGCCGGTTTACCCAGCGCCACATCCCATAAGGCGACATTCTTCACAGTCACCGCTGTGAAAACCTCAAGTTTTACAAAAACTTCTCACTTGTCAGTGGGGCACTAAATAACTTGCATGTTAATTCTTGATAATTCGTTGTTACGCTAACACGAAATTGTATAATTTAAGAGATTTTGCTCGCCGTTGCTTTCAGTTTGTGTATGTACAGGTGTATGATTGTGTTTCTAATTTTATCGTTTTCTACGAAAGTTACCTGGAAACCGAAAGGCCAGTGGATAAGATAAAGGTCTACGTAGTCCAGTCCCAAATTGCTCAGAGACTTCTTGCATGTGTCAACTACAACGCCTGGGCGGTGGTGTGTGTTCCATAGCTGTAACACATGGCACAAGACAAGTTTTGAGAAGCTGTTCACATCTAAAAGAGTCCATATATTTCTTTGTTTGTTAATGCAGCTGAAGAATATATGAACTAAGCACGTGTTCTATTACCATCTCTCTGAAATCAGATACAAACAACGCAGTTAGTTAATCAAAGTAAAATTTGTCAAAATCCGTCCGGTCTCGTGAGAACAGGCAAATGGATGTGGAGAAAATAATAGGTCTACAGGACGCTCGATATTCAGTTGTCCACCTCTGAATATCTATTGCGAGCAAACTAACAGCAACAGCGAAAGTCAGTTTGTTACATAGTATTAGTTGACACTTCAAGATTTGACGACAATTTAAAAGTATGCATATCGCTGCAGGCTTCCATGAAGATGATGTCTTATTTTGATGTGGAAAAGACGAGTTCTGTGATATTCTTTCAACTAAATCGTTCAGTAAGTTTTGTTCAACTTTCGTTCCGTACGAATTACGGTAAAGATGCACCAACAAGAAAATCAGTTTACAAGTGACACGCTTCGTTTGCTGAAACCGTTCTCATTTGAGGTGAGAAGAAAATGGAGGGAAGACTTCGTCGATCGAATTAGCACGGCGTTTCTTCTTAAGCCTCAGAAACCGACAAGGCGTTCAGGCATTCTAAAGTAAGTTTTGTGGACTCACTCCAAGATGAGATGTTATATATGTAATGCAAATAATTAGATGCCATGTTAGAGCAGAATGCCGATCACAGTGGCCGCGCGGTCTAAGGCATGAACCGTTTTCGCCCGCACGAACACGTTCGAATCCTACTCAAGGCATGGATGTCTGTGTGTGTTTATTCTGTGAGTAGGTAGCGGCCTTGCGACGGGCTGATGAGCCGTGCAAGGCATCTTAAGCAGGGTCCAGACTTGTTGCGTAACCCCGTATCGTATCAGTGTGGACGGTACCCCGTATCATCCTTCCGTTGGAAAATGATACGCAACGGGCTGTTCGCTCGCTTGGCGGTCTTCTCCCGTCGCATCAAAGGGACTACTCGGGTTGCAGTGGTGCCAGTCTGGACGTGTAGGCGGCTGCATCGCGCTTTGTTTATCAGCTCCAGACAGTTGGAGTGTAGTCATCACCAGTGTGCGTTCTTCTGTTTGTGATTCTCTGTTTATATACTCTGAATGGAGTGGAGTGGAGATACGCAACAAGTCTGGACGCAAAATTTTGTCGCGTTGCATCGGACGATACGCAACGGAGATACGATACAAGGATACGCAACAAGTCTGGACCCGGCTTTACTGTCTGCGTATGGATTAAGAAATTAAAAAAAACGTCAAGGTTCACAAGGGCTCTACAGCCATAGATAGATGGGTAGGTAGGTAGGTAGATCAAAGCAGAATGACTGTGAAAGTAATCTCGAGTTCAGACGATATGTCGGATTGCCATGAATTTTTTAAAACTAAATGGAAAATAAAAACGTAACATTGTAAGTGTGAAACGGACTCCAAATTGCGAATGAAGCGAAAGAATGATTCATTGTGTTTCTTGATTGGATGAGAAGGTAAATATTTAATATTTATTTAGTTTAGTATACTAACCCTGTCGCGTAGCATTTTTTATTCATGGTGCCACAAAGGAAGGTGTTTTAACTTCCCCCATGATGCAAAATATTTTAAATAGCCCTATCTTTGCGTATATTTAATAAAATATAGGGTTCCTTAAGTCTTACGGGATTGTTTCAGTCTTGAAATCTTACCTTCGTAGTGACAAACACATCCTCCCTCTTGATGACGCCTTCAGCAATCTTGGCTCTGATAGCCGCTCCCACCTCGCTCTCATTCATGTAGAACAGTGCAGTGTCGAAATGTCTGTACCCCGCGTCTATGGCATCTTTGACTACTTGCTCCATCTCTCCGGGGTTGGCCTGTTGATAGAACATACATATGTTCCTGATGATCTACCTAGTTTAATATCGACTTATCTGCCATCGCTCAAGCAGTTAGTCGCCGGTTTTTCACCGCGAAGGCCTGATTTCAGTCCCAGAGCAGTCACTGTAGGATTTTTAATGGACGGAGTGGAACTGGGGCAGGTTTTCTCCGAATACTTCTGTCTTCATCTTACAATTATCGCTCTGCCAGTGCTCCATTCTGCTTTCGTTAATCGGAGCTGATAAAATAGGCCTATCTGTGGCTGTAGTACAAGGCACTCAGTCCCAACTCATCCCAATACTACTACTACTACTACTACTACTACTACTACTAATAATAATAATAATAAGCTAAATGTAAAATTTCCCGTTTATTTAATTAAGCATTACACTTTGAAGACATATGGGGGAGTGGAGATATACCTTCACCATTCTTGTCATGGACACTATATGAATGTGAGCAATCAACTTTACGTCCTGACCGTTTTAACCCCTGGGATTAATCTCCGGTACCATTGGTTAGGGGGGGCACGCGGTAGCTTAGTGGTTGAGACACTATGCTACAAGACGGAAGGTCGCGGGTTCAAGTCCCGCTGAGGTCATTGGATTTTTTCAGTTGACGTAATCCTTCCAGCCGCACTATGGCTCTGGGGTCGACTCAGCCTCCAACAGAAATGAGTACCGGGAATCTTCCAGAGGGTAAAGGGCGGCCGGCGCGTAAGTCTGACAACCTTACCGCCATTTTGAACCGATTGTATAGATAATATGGGACTCTCAAGGTCTCGCAACCCTATGGGCCTTCACAGCCTGTTACAGGGATAGCTTTACTTTACTTTTTTACCTATTGGTTAGGAGGCTGGGTTGGTCCTAGAACCATTCTGTTGGTCGCTGTGAAAGAAGAAATCTTTTTTGTCTGTCGGGGATCGAATTCCGACCGTCCAACCCGTAGTCAGTTAGTACGTTGACTGAGCTATCCTGGTTCCTAATATTGAAAATAAGTTGATAATATGAGTGAAGACAAGGAAGGAACTTTTAGAGAGACTAGCAAAAGGCGAATGTGAAGTTAATCATGGAATTAAGAACCTACAAGGAAAAAAACAATAGATATATCAAGATGACGCTGGAAAGAGGATGTTGCGCAGTTGGAATCTGTTGAACATCCAGTTTATGAAGTTCCTTCAGCAGCGCCGCATATTACGACGCACGGTGAAACTTGGAAACCAGTGGAAATCAGTAAGAACAGAACTGGCGTTGAGAATATTACTTGAGACTGCTCATTCTGTTGATATCTTCAGCTGTGGGACATTGCTGGCCGTCCGCCTGCATAGTATTGTTTAGACTACTCGCTTGACAGTTACGTGTATGTCAGAGAACGTGCTGCTGAAACACCGCCCGACGTTTTGTCACACAGGCGGTGCCGGTTATTTTAATAATACTTATTATATAGAGAGATATAAAGACGAGAAACGCCGAGAATGGAGAGAACTCTAGCGAAACTTTGTGGAACTGTTAACAAAATGTTTACCAATTAATTTTCTGTATTCACTCGGTCAAGTAGCCGAGCCCTTCTTGAGAAGCTGCCAATTGTGCAGCTACTCAAGAACTTCCCAACATTTTATGGAACCCGAAGGTTCATTACCGTGTTCACAAGAGCTCTCCACTGGTCCTTATTCTGAGCCAGATCGATCCATACCATCCAATCTTATCTCTCTAAGATCCATTTTATCCCAAGTACGAAATCTCATATCCATTTTCATTTCGCTTACATCGTTTATCTAAAAAAATCCGCCCAGATCCGAGACTTCTTGAAATTTTTCGTAACAAACTTATTTTTGTTTACGGTGAGGAGTTGTTAGTCCCACCCCCAACACCCCCCTCACCTCAAACTGGAGGCCCACCCCTTGTCGGCTGTCCGCGACTGTTTATTAAATATATTCGCAGCTACCCTCCCTATCTGCAGGCCGTCTCCTCCATCCGCAATCTGAGGACGTGCCATGCTGTGGTGACAAGGGACCCACATAACATGGAATTTTTCTGTGTTATTGTATTCAAATAGTTACCATATCTTTATCATCGTTATCATCATAAATCGTCATTATTCCTGTTCGGCCTACCATATTACAGCATCTGAATATGAACATGGTCACAGTGACTGCTGGGTCTAGGGCGTGTACTTTCTTCTACAACTCGAAAACTGGGATCACGTATTTGAATCTCACTCGGCCATGGACGCACACGTTCTTTCTGAGTTTGTATTGTATTTTGTACAAGTAGATACAAACCTAACTACTGGCCGATCTCCTGTCTAAGAAATCACATAAAGTGCCTGTAAACAAGATTCCGAAACCCGAAAGACAGGAGGCCTTGGTTTTCGCAAAAAGGAAAGGAAGGACTTGAGTAAGTACTTACTGTGTAAGTGCCGAATCCAATGACTGGAAACTCATAACCGTTGTTTAGCTTGACAGTTGGTGCCATGGTCTTGACAGTTAAAACTGCTCTTCTCTTCAGCGTAAATTTTTCTGGGCGTGTTGCTTTGAAAAACGCGACTGTGCGTGTGGTATCACAATATATACTGCCGAATGACAAAGCAACATTTAATCAAGCTGGTGATATCGATTATCAGATTATCAGTAAGTGTCTGTTACTTAAATTATTGTGTAATCTCAGGCTTAAATAAGCGCCTAAGTGACGTATAAGGCATGCTCTTCATACTCAGATAATCCTCAGTCGCAATTAAGTTAATAAAGTGGATAGACCAGAACTTCATTTCATCAGACTGTGGACTTGTCATCTAAGTTTCGAGGAAGCTAGAATAGTACTCGAAACGAGAGATCTGCTTTAAATGACCGCCTCTCTGGTCTAGGGGTCAGAGTTCATGGCTACAGATCCAGAGGTCATGGCTGCGATTCCCGGTGTTACCAGATTTTCTGAGAAGTAGTGGGTCTGGAACGGGGTCCACTCAGCCTCGTGAGGATAATCGAGGAGTTACTTGAGTGGAAAAGTAGCGGCTCCGGTCTAGAAAGCCGAGATTAACGGCCGTGGGGATTCGTTACGCTGGCCACGCGACAACCTCTATCCGCTAAGTTGGCAGTAACTTTGCCTACAACCGGCGGATGCTCTATCGGTATAGTCCGCTTGCTGACTCAAGCCACAGAGTTTGTTTGTTTTGATCTGCTTTTAAATTTAAGCCGCTATTGTAGCCCATGATCAGGCCGTGTTTGTTACAAAATTAATTTCTGAAAGAATTCGTAATCGTCGGTTTTCTTCCAATACTTGTTCAGCCATAGCTTTTGAAACCGATATTTAAAATACCTTACATGAGCGCGAAGCTTGCTATTTCGCATTAAGGTGAGCGTTCTCGATTATGACCAGGGCCCGGATTTTGATGACATGTCATCCTTTTTTCCTTGTATCCTATGCGATGCTCTCAAATATATAAATCTCGGATATGAGCTGCTGCTTACAGAAATGTAAATTTTATAGGTAATTTTTTGTCATTTTTTGACATTTTTAGGTTTAAGATAATTTTTTCATTTTGGGGGTAATTTTTGTAAAATTTTTGGGCTTTTAAGGGTATTTCTTGTCATTTTGGCCATTTAGGGAATTTTTCTTCATATGTTTTCTGAAATGTGAATAACATGGAAGCGAAGTTCTCTTTTCTCCTTTAGGTCATTTTTCTGGATTTTTTTCGGTCATTTTATAGGTCATTTTTTAAACATTTTCAGGTCATCAAAATCCGGGCTCTGATTATGACTCTGTGATTGCCACGGTATAAATATTCACAGCCAAGAAAATGTTAAAATCTCATGTCATAGTTCAGTGAATTTGAGAACAAATCGCCGAGGTGAATATATGAACGTAAAATTAAGAAAGAGCCGTTCACGGTAGCCGAGCGGTCTAAGGCGTGTACTGTCTTCGATCACTTGGAAACCGGGATCGTGGGGTCGAATCCCACTCAGGGCATGGATGTTTAGTTTGTTTGTGTGCGTTTTTCTGTGTTTGTGTACAGGTAGATGCTTTGCGACCAGCTGATCACCCTCCCAAGGATTCCTACCGAATGTGTAAGATTTAGAAAAAAAAAAAGAAAGTGAACGGAGGAGTTCATGGATGTAGGACTAGGCCCACTGGGGCTTTAATGCCAATGAAAAAAATTAAGAAAGTGCGAGGAGAAATGAGAAAACTGCCTAATTACAGGCTTCTTAATTTTGTCTCTTTCCTAGGTGTTATTAGGGTGATCACATGAGGGACGATTGAATGAAGAGAGCATGTAGCATGCAAGGAAGAAATGTGATGTGCATGAGGAATAAAATATGAAAAAGGGGCATAATTTAAAAAATTTAAATTTAAAATTTAAAATAACCTCTCCATTTGGGATTCTAGCTGAGTACCTCCCTGAATATGAGACATGAGGCATGAGACATGAGAAATGAGACATGAGACATGAGACATCATGGCCACACTGAATTACCCTACGGACAAACCATTAAGAATTTTCGCCATCATGAAATATGTACATTAAAATAAAACGAGGCTTTCGACTTCATACATGTAATTCCTCAGATTTTTGTTTCATAGAGCTCTAGAATGCACGGACTATGACGAAACGAATATCGGGACATTCGCACGTCCCATTCGAAATGCGTTGATGTAGGAATATGCAATAGACAGTGTCCACTGGTTAGTGTGTAGTAATGTCTTCATAGTGTCTGCTGGTAAATCTGTAATCCGGTTTATTTCAATACAGGAATCTTTGTACGTCTCCACAGAATGTCATTCACATTGGAAAAGAATGATATTAACATTACATATGACACAGGTCTGAAACTGATAAGATTTTCTTGGGGTATTAGTCACGACAGTCGGTTAGAAATTGCAGACGTTTCGTGGACCACCATCAGGGTCTGAGCTTCTCACGGCTGTGGTTATTGAGAGTTATATCTTCTGGGATATAACGCCGTATAATCCTTTAAAGGTCAATTGAGTTTTCAGAGGAATATGTCGCTTCCGAAACGTCGATAGACTTGCAAGCGCTACACGATGTTTGTTATATATTTGAAGATAAAACTCATAAAGAGGTATTTTTTTCTAAAATGAATGAACTAGTTGGTTTTTATGATGGACACGTAATGGGTGAATATGTTATGAATTTTTTAAAGAAAATCTATTTAAATGAACTTCACGCTTCACAGGATCAAACTTGTGACTACCAATTATAGATAGTAATAACTAAGATGAGTTCAATTTTCTGGGATTTAAGGTCATGAAGTCCTGTAGAAGTTCACTGACGTTTCAGAGGGACATGCTGCATATGGTTTCAGGGTTGAAGATTAAGTTAGAAAAGTAACCATCATGGAAATTCAACCTGAAGATGAAGCAAGCATGTTCCTCTGAAACGTCGGCCAACTTCTAACGGAGTACACTGCCTTACAGCCCAAGAGATAGCAGTCTTCATAGACACAAATGTGATTTCCTAAAATACAACAACAGTAAATAACAATTTCAAAGTAAACTTGTTCCATATCTCATTTATATGCTTGTACGTTATATACATTTTATCACAGTTTTTATTAACTTCAAAGTCACCAAAATAGGTCACAATAATTGAATTAACACTTGAAAATATATTTCTTGGGAAATTAAACCAAATTATTAATCTTCCAGGAACATTAGTACCATGTAAGACGGAATATTCTTTTAGAAATATTGTACTGAGAATTACATTTTTCGCCTGAGTGCTGGAGTGTTCCTTCTAGGAGAAAGAAAAGCTAATGTACTCTGTTGATTCTCCGTGTTTTGTTACACTATTTCTACTTACTTCGTAGGTTTCTCTTACTTGGAAGTTACAGATTTCAGAATGTGCTTTGTTCTAATTTATCTTTACACTTCAATTGATTCCCTAACTTCAAACCCAGTTCCAGAAAATTTATATTGATGGACGCAGTACACTTCAGTACTCATGCGACAATTCATAACATTAACCTGAGTTAGGATAAAGTTGGATGATTGTAGATACTGTTCAGGAAAGTACAGCATGAGTGACGAATTCGGATCCATGTTGCCGGATCAGAATTCAAGGCTGAATGGATAGTGCTTGTGGTCACTCAACCTAGAATTAAAGAAGGAACATATTTCGTTTTTATGAGATACGACTCCTTTGCAGCATAAAAACATTGATGTAAAAACAGAACGCAGGACTCAAACCATTCCTCTATACGGTGAAATTCTTTCGTAAAATTTTGTACAGATGGAAAGAGGATTTTAGGTTTCATGGCGCTGTCTATGAAGAGTGCTATCTTCTGGAATCTAACACCGTGTAGTCTGTTGCAAGTTCACCGATGTTTCGGAGGAACGTATTATTTTCATCCGTGGGTCAATTAGAAAGCCAAGTTGTGCTTACTGTCCAGTTTTTGTAAGTTGTCTAGTTTACTTTTCGACACAGAAGAAGGAGAAAACACGTAAAAAGATAAAATTGTCCCTGTGCTTAATTAATTAAACACTACGCCATGAAGACATATGGGGGAGTGGATCTATATATCCACATTCTCTTGACCTTTGGAGGTGAGTGGTCAGTTTCACGCCCCGACCGCTTTACCCCAGGTGAAAGAGCGCCCCCGTGCCCATTGAATATGAGTTTGGGTGGACCCTAGAGCCGGTCTGAACGACATGGAGAAGTGAAAATTCTTTTTCCTACCGGAACTCGAACTCCGACCCCTCGGCCGTCTAACCAGTAGCCGGTCGCTATACCGACTGAGCTATCCCGGAGACAACACGTTCCTCTGAAATACCGATAAACTAACAGACTACATGCTGTCACGTCCAAGAAAATAGTATTCATCAGGAATATGTAAATTTCATGCCTATCAATACATGCGTTAGCAAAGGTGCTCCGGTATTCAATAATCTGCAGGGTCATTAGGAAAATGTAACTTTTATATTGCTATTATTGTGTACCAGTTTTGTTAGAAATTAGTCTTTAATAATTTTATATATGAGCGTATTTGTAAAGCCTAACGCGCACTTGACACGCCACTGAATCCATTAGGCTTGTGTTCAGGTAAAACTAAACTTAATAAAAGTTACGAATTTCGAAGTTGTTTTCTTTTCACTTTCAAAATAGACTTTTAATTTTTGTGTGTCTCTTGATATGTTGAATACTATATTCCTTAAAATTTAAATTGATCTCAGTCAAATTTCATTGAAAAATAATTAAATAGGCCAACACTTGAGACACTTTAACAAAACAATATGGATACTTTAAGGTATATGTGGATTATTGATATTTAGCAAAAAAAATATTAAGGTTATATTCCTGTAACTATCACCGGCGAAGCTCATTTTGTATACTACCTTCTGCCATATAAAACCGTGTAGTCCGTTGAAAGTCTACCGACGTTTCGAGAGAATATATCGCCTCCATCCTCATGAATGGAGAGTAAGCAAATAAGAAACCAATATGATACAGGCAGCAAACGGTTGACTTTCACCGTACTACATGTCGTTATATCATAGAAGAGAGAAATCTTCATAACCTTCATTTAAGAACCACAAATTGTAGGTATACATTATTTCGTACAATTTAAAATGTAATGCGCTTACTCCGTTTTAATGCATATCCTGGTGTTCGTGTTTATAGCATCAATTTCTGCCACTTCTTCCGGTGTCAATTCGAACTTCAGTGCATCAAAATTTTCTTGTAGGCGATTTTTATTGGATGATTTCGGAATTGGCACCACACCATGCTGAATCTGTAAAAATAAATTGTATTATTTTTTGTGAGTAATCTGATATGCCACACCTTTTTTGCCAATAAATAGGCTTTAATTTCTTACATCTTATGTGATTACAGATGCTTTAATTCAATGTAAAAGACAAATCCATCTTCATATGTAATTAAGTACCACACCATGAGGATGTATGGAAAATTAAGCTATAGTTTCATTCATTCCTAAATTCTGTACTAGATAGAAGAGAGTAGTCAGGTTCACGCTCCGTTAACTTTATCCTGGGGGAAACAGCTTTACTTGCTTCTTGTACAGGAAGTTTGCCCTGACGGCAAAGAGAAGTATTCCTACTTCTTCTGTTCTTAATTGAACTCCGATTGTTCACGAAGCATTTAAAATGCTTTTCAGATATCTGACTTATACCCTTGTGACAATATTGTGTTAATTTCTTAATGAACACACATGGCACGTGTTATCATTAAGGAAGTACTTATTATAAAATGATTTGGCAACACCGTCCAGTGTGACTCAGTATATATTTATAAAGTGCCTTTACATGTTTTGGTGAGTTGTGACCATCTTTCGAAAGGCAATAAAAAATGCGAAGAACTACTATTACATAGGTCGTGATATATGCTTAAACTTTTGTATAACAATTTTAATTATTAAGTTAAAAGGCGTTTAAATTAATAATATATTATTAATGTTCTTAGTATTTAAAATGTTGAAGTGCTGAGGTTTGTATCTCCGTGCATCTTCTGCCAGAACGGGAGATTTGGGTGTTATTTGCCGCCCTCTGAGGTCCTGGCATCGTTGTCCCCCCTTCTTTATATGCTTCCTTAAGGATCTGTGTCTTTGTCAAGTTGTTTCTCCTTTCGTTTTGTATTGAGACAAATAACACCCCAATCTCCCATTTTGACAGACGAGGCACATGGAGACAAACCTCAGCGTTTCAACATTTTAAATATTAAAATTTTAATAACATATTTTTAACGTAAAACACTTTTTAACTTAATTAAAATGTTATACAAATTTTAAGCATATGTATTACGTTCTATCCGATAGTAGATGGTCACAACTGACCGAAACAAGTAAAGGCACTATATAAATATATACTGAGTCACACTAGACGGTTTTGACAAATCATTTCATAATAATTAACTAGAGTGACGGACCAGAATGAATAAAGTTAAACATAACGAAGTACTTACTTAGCTATGCATTCGACTAATTGTCTTGACTCACCAGATATCTAAGTATAATCTGGGCAGGTGTTTTGCCACGTTTCTCTGCCAGTTCCTTTATCTTGGCGTCTTTGAGTGGAGCAGGGGCGTCTGGTATGGTCAGAGCAATACTCGCTGGTCCCCCAAATGGGCTGTAACCTGTCACCACGAGTCCCTCTTTCTTGCAGAAGTCAATTAGTTTGGTCTGGTTCAAGTACGGGTGACACTCTACCTGCAGGCGTGTTCAACACAGGTGTGGAGGTCCTGCAATTAATCAGCTATACACGTCTAATTTATATTACTGCATATTTCAGACTAACTGACCATCGTCGGGCTGATTTTACATTTATAGTCCAGTAAGGTTGAAATATGTAGTGAAATAAATTAAACGTATATAATTGATTAACTGTTCATTACGTTGTGTTGAAGGAACCTCCACAGTTATTAAGATACACAACATGACGCTGCAATATAATATCACGTGGTCAAAGCAGTTGTGACACACTGCAAAGGAAATAAAGTTGACGTTGAGAAGATTAGTTGCAGTAGCTATAAGTTCCAACTTCTTTAACGTTCAGTTAATTACCGTTTTGTGAGAGAACATTTACGAATTTTGTTTAATTCTCAGATTAATTTTTATAACGGAGGTATTGTGTGCGTTCTTGAAGGCACAAATCAAATCCTTTCGAGATAATATTTTTGAGTGCAGAATAATGGTAAGATAGGCTATGAAAAGAAGATTGGATGTGTGATTTGAATTTACAGTGAGACAGTTATAAATCCGTTGCCAGGATACGAATAGTGAAGACTGAGAAACCTAGTGCGTGTGTAGCGGTGAACTGTAAAGTGTGTAGATGAGCGATAGCGCTGTAGTGCCTATAGTTCCGAGTACTGCGTATAAAATGTCAATAAATTAAAGTATCGAATCCAGAACCCATCTATAAGTCACGGACAAAATCTCCCCTATTCATGACAATATTATTTATACAACTTTTCACTTATACGTTTAATAAACCGTACGTCTTCCAACGCTGTTTGAGAGTGAATTCAAAGCCTGATAACCTATAGGCATGAGATCCGTTTGACACGAAATCTCCCTGCTTCTATTTACGTCAAATTATGAGATACATATATATATATATATATACCTGGTTGACGACGGGTTTGATTGTAGCAATATCCAGTCCCCGCTGTATCTGTTGACTGTTGAAGTTAGACAAGCCAATACTCTTCGTGAGGCCCTGTTTAACACATTCCTCCATCTCTTTCCACGTGTCCACGTAGTCCACATCGCTGTAGATGATATTGCCCGAGGAATCTTTTGGTAAAAATACGTCCCCTTCCTGAAAACACGTGATATTTAAAGACTTGAGTGTTAATATAATTAAAGAATTTAATCTGTGTGCCAAGAGCTGTAATGAAAGCCATGGCTTACATGATTGAATACAGAAAAAAGAAATATTTTCGTATTGACAACGAAATTTTTCCTTGGAACTACAGCCTCAGTGGGTCTAGGCCTACCTCCATGAACTTCTCCGTTCACTGACAATGAATTACTTTTGGATATTCGGATTATTTGGGCTCGGCTGTGTCCAGTATACATATTTTAACATCTAAGCCACAGCTATCAGTACACATAAAACCTGCTTTAACACTTAAATCTTTGCTTTTTCCAGCAGATTTTGTTTATGGTTGTAACAAAAGGTAAAGCTATCTTTGTAACAGGTAGTGAGGGCTCTTAGTGTTGTGAGGTGACGAGGCTCCCACATTTTCTTGACAGTCGGCTCACAAATGGCGATAAGGTTCTCAGCCTTAGGCGCCAGCTGCCCTTTACCCCGCAAGAAGAGTCCTGGTATTCATTTCTATTAAAGGCTGAGTCGACCACAGGGCCATAGTGCGGCTGGAAGGATTAGGTAAATTGAAAATTCCACATAATCGGGACTGGAACCCGCGACCTTCAGGCTTGTAGCATAGTGCCTGAACCAACTACGCTACCGCGTGCACCTGTGGCTGTAATAAGTTTCTCAAAATAAACTGCGATCAGTTCCTTAGACACAGTTAACCTGCTGCTGTTTCTAATGGGCATTCAGTGTGTTCTCTACGAAGTATGAACTGAATTTTTTAGAACATTCAGAATGATTTCAGGCATGAAATGGCTGATACACTTTTAAACTTGCATGAATTAAGATCGATTAAATGGAAAAAGTGTCACACAAGAAATCTTTAAAATAACTTTTATTAATAGAATAATTTGCCCTAAATATGCACACTTGCACATGTAACTTCTGCAGGTTGTGATGTCGCAAGGAAACAAATTATAAATAATTAGTATTATTTATAACTTTTTGTTTGAGCATTATGCTACAATCCGGAATATCGTGGGTTCGAGTCCAGATGAAGTGGATATTTACAATTTACCTAAACCTTCCAGCCGCACTATGGTCCTGGCGTCGACTAAGCCTCTAACAGAAATGTGTGCCAGGAATCTTCCTGGGGGTAAGGGTGGCCGGCGCGTAAGGCTGACAATCTTACCACCATTTTTGAGCCGACTATCCAGAGAAAATATGGGAGCCTCGACGTCTCAAAACCCTATGGGCCTCAATGGCATGTTACAAGGATAAGTTTACCTTCATTTATTATTTGCCTATAATGAACCAATGCACCTGAACCAAATTCGACATTGCTTAGTATGAATCAATAACTTCTTTAATACTTTTACTTACCTTCCGACCTTGCAAACATGGGCCCAATTGCTCTATGCCTACGCATTTTATCGTCATTTATTCCCAGATGACGATTATTTAATAAACCTGGAATTTATCGTAAGCTTATTTAATAGTTATGAGACTCGTCTTGCAGAGGCAGATTGGTTTTCACTTCCTTTGTCTGACTGGTGTGCAGAACTTTCAGGTTTCATCTGTTTGGTCTTATGCATTCATCAGTAGATCAGTCGGTAGCAGTCAATATGTTATACAGCATGTTCAGAAACGTTCAGACGTAACGACGTGTAATACTATTTGCCTACCTTGAACGCATGAGGCCAGTGAATGAGGTAAAGGTTGACGTAGTCGAGCCCGAGGTCGGAGAGGGTCCTCTTGCAAGTTGGTACCACCATGTGAGGGGCATGGTACGTGTTCCACAGCTGAAACACCGCAGGTTTCAAAGCTGTACTTGCTGTGTGAATAATGCATCATCACTATGTACAGCAAGTTTCCACTTTATTTTTATGTGTAATTTATTTACTGATGCTGTCAGTAGGCCAGATTTTATAGAACCGAAAGTAGAATGATTAGTTCATAATTAGCTGAAAAAATATGGGAGGTTTAATATGAGGCACTTTCAAAGCATTTGCCCGGATGGGCCGAGGCACAACAGGAATTACCTCAGTGAGAATATCTTATTTCCGGGTGTTACATTTTGGAAAACAGTAATATTTCTAATATTCAAAATCGAAAGTGATAAAAATGTTACGACAGGAAGTACCTTGCTGGTAACAAAGATATCTTCTCTCTTTATGACACCTTCAGCGATCTTCGCTCTGATGCCGGCTCCCACTTCCTTCTCGTTTTCGTAAAACTTGGCGCAGTCAATATGGCGGTATCCAATGTCGATAGCATCTTTAACAATCTGCTCAGCTTCTCCTGGGTTTGACTGTTACACAAAATAACATATTGTTTTTAAGACTCACACAGATACTCATTACGAATGAACGGTGAGAAGTGTTAGGTTGCAACCCTGTGTAATTCAGAGAAAACTAGACTCTTCGAAGAAACATATCGCCTCCATCTTTAGGTTCAAAACCCAGCAAGAAACCAGCAGAAATAGGCGGCGCACTTGGCTTAGTCTTCGACGCTGAAAATGGAAGTGACATTTTCCTCCGAAACTTTGGATTCTCTCCGAACGTCGTTACAAACTAGAAGACACACTCTTAATTTTCTTTCACGTTTCAGTACTGTGCCTTCGAGGAAAAGCGAAACTGCTGTGTTGATCTAATCACTGATGTTAGATTCCTATTTATGTGAGTTTATGTGGCGGCATATTCTTGAACAGAACATCATTTCAAACGGACTCCTCGTGGTTTCTGGAACTCTGGCATCTAGGCTAAGAAGAAACAGTGGCTGTGCGCCCTATGACCTTAACAATCTTCGCCCGCTTGGACACTGGAGTCGAGGGTTGGAATCCCATTCGAGGCATGGGTGTCTGTGTGCGTTTATTCTGTGTTTGTGTTGTTCTGCTTGTAGGTAGCGGCCTTGCGAGGGGCTGATCCCCCGTCCAAAAAGTCCTACCGACTGTGTATAGGATTAAGAAAATGAAAAACTACCAAGTTCCAAAGGGTTAGAGATCCATATAGAGAGATTCCCCGAGTTGAATTCCTAAAAAGGAAAATATTTACTGAAAACTTCATACATCCACCTTTGAGGATAGAACTCAATTATTGTGTTTATATGGTGCACCGTGGTTTCCTCGTAAGTTATATCGCTTTACGGTGTTCGGAATTGCCCTGTGCTTAATTAAGCACATCACTGTTAACTTACGGAGAGAATAAAAGTAGAGGTTACACATTAATAAACTCAGCAACAGAATGAGGTGAACTGTCAGCTTTGCTCTTCGGGAAACTATTTTATAGGAGACTGGGTGGTCCCAGAAACCAGTCTGGGCAAATTGGCGGAGAAAACCCCCCTTTTCCGTCATAGAAACAGAAGTCAGTCACTAAAACTATGTTGTCCCGGGCTTTCACTTTTTTAAGTCACCTGTATTATTATCATCATCATCATCAGTAATCTGTCAGGCGACAGGTCCACAGTCTCTTCCAAAACAGTTTCTCCACTTAATGCGATCTTCTGTTTTTGGAAAGAGACTATCCAGGAAAAGTGATAATGTGGTAGTTTTTCCATTTGCTTTCCACATCGCAGTACAACAGCCGTTCAAACCACTCTGGTCACGCCTGTTGCTATACGAACTTGAACCATCTCGAGCATCATTTGCTCTGTGCTTCAAGTCGCTGCTGATGACGCTGCTTCCGACATCAGTTTTTGGTGTCTCTCTTCGTCTGATGCCTACCCTTTGACCTGTCCAGCAAGGGAGGCCCTGCCCGTAGCTACGCTACCGCTGGTATAGCTCTCAGGGTCCTTGGCATACTCAAACCCCCTCACCACGATAAGGTGGAGACACCAAGGAGGGGGGTATTATTATAACGAATGCTAATTAAAGTCTGAGGACGTCGAAGTTAACGCCCAGCTCATAATTATTCAGGGCTGTTACGCTGAGTATGCAACTTACAGAGCTATAGAAATTGTTGTGGACCCAGACCCTTATCTCAAGTGTCTTGTCTTTAAGATTATATTTATCTTCCAGATAAGACTGATTCTTGCGTCCCTGTTTATTTTCAGTATACGTATCTAAAATTGCGAAGTCATTCTGAATCGAAATTAATTTGTTTAGTACTTGAACGATTGTCTGGTTCATGATAAGGGCTAGTGATGGGCTCTTGTGAACACGGTAATGAACTTTCGGCTTACATAATACATTAGGAAAGTATCGAGTAGTTAAACGACTATTCACTACTGAAGTAGGACTCGGCTTCTTAGAGACATCATCTGAACGAAAATGTCCGAGGGTATACTCGTATATATATATATAAACATGATGTGTCTCTGCTTAATTAATTATACACTAACCCATGAAGACGTATGGGGAAGTGGATATATAGATTCATGTATTCGGCACCATTTGGAAGTGAGTGGTCAATTTCACGCCTCAGCCGCGATAATCCCGAAGATAGAGCCCCTGGTACCCATTGGATAGGAGGCTGGGTAGGGCCCAGAACTGGTCTGCACGAAGTGGAAAGAAAAAATCTTTCCCCTACTGGGACNAATCTGAAAAAAAATCCAATGACCTCATCTGGACTTGAATCCGCGAACTTCCGGCTTGTAGCTAGCTCCTAAACCACTACGTTACCGTGTGCCCCCCCCCCCC